GTTGAGGTACTGTTCCACTGCAAAGACCAAACTGTTCAGGGCTACAAAGTGGCACGTTTAAGGTGTACTCAGATTACTACAGAGCATTTGTTTATATTAAGATATATATTTTTTCAAGCATGATGCTTAAGGCACCAAGAAGTAATCAATTATGTGGGTTGTCAGTATGAATTTGCATCATCCTCAAATAACAAGTTTTACTCTATGACTTTTATAGATCAGGAAATGAATTGAAAGAGACTTAGCTAAAATTATTTACTATAACCAGGGCTGGACAATTGGATGGGGGCAACTTCTTTTGCCTATGGGCTATGTAAAACTGATGTATTTCCAGTTTTATTTTGTTTTTATTTTGACTGCTGAGGATGGGCAAGAGATTTTTTTTCATGTGAAGAGTGATTTGAGAAACTGCAAGTTGCTCTTGGTGTGAGAGAATTGGCCGTCTGCAAGGATTTGGCCAGGGACACCCAGATTTTGATGTTTTTACCATCCTTGTGGGAGGCTTCTCTCATGTTCCCACATGGGGAGCTGGAGCTGACAGAGGGAGCTCATCCACACTCTCCCCAGATTCGAACTAGCAGCCTTCAGGATAGCAACCCAATCTTCAAGTCAGCAGTCCTGCCAGCACAAGGGTTTAATCCATTGTGCCACCGGGAACTCCATGAGCAAGAAGTTGCACGAATGATAAGAAGCCCAACTTTCATATTTTGTTATGTTTTTGCTGTGGTCTGAAAGAGGGGCTGAGGGCTTTGGCAAGGTTTGAACAGCATGAAGTCTCACAAAAAGGACTCTTTCTTCACCTCTGCAGTAAACAGGAAATTGATTCTTAACTTCCCCGATTCAGTACGGAAATGAGGTTGAACATGACCCCCCCTCCCCCCAATAAAAGATAGTAACTTATAGTTTTGCTAAGGACAAGGACATAAAACTGGATAATAAGGGTTAAGCCTTGGTCAATTTACCAAGACACTAACAACAACAACAAGGACCCTTCCCATGTCAGATAGTGTGTACATTTAATTATGGTTTTATGCCTTATGTTTCATATATAGCAGAAGGTAACACATTTATTACTGAGAAACCACCTCCTTTTACAATTATGTACTCTCTTGAACTTTTATGAGACTTGTTTCCCTTCTGAAGGACTCTTAGAAACGTTTTGGAAACTTTACCTTTTCAAGCCCCATGAACCTTTGGACTTTTCAAAACTTGTTCCTCTCCCCAACCCCATGGGCTCTCAAAATGACTTTATGAATTCCCAATGGACTTTGGTGGGTGGGGGGAAGTGGAGATGGGCTCTTTCTATTTATATGAATGTACCCTTTGATTCCCTCCTATGCCTCCCCTTCCCATCCTATATAATATATAATGTATACATTATATATAATGTATACATCCTATATAATATATAATGTATAAAATATGATATGCCACTCTCTGTGACCCCAGGAAGGGAGGTAAAATCCGGATTCTGGCCATCTCACCAGACATCAACGTTGATTGCCACCCCTCAAGACAATAAGCTGGTCGGCTAGAAGGCCCCTGAGGACTCGCTGGCCATTTGTACACCACATATTTCCATAATCCATTCCAGTTCTCATTGTATCCCTCTCAACCTGCTTCCTCTCTCCTGATTGACCAGAAGGCCGAAGTGGCGTGAGCTCACCCATTGATTAAGGCACTCAGGAGGCGGCCAAGCCTCCTCCCAGCTGTAGAGTGCCAACCAATCAGACAGCTCTGTATATGTATAAAAAGGCTGTATTTTGTATCCTTGCCTGACGAAATATCGCAGCTTTGCATCCTTTCCAGCTGGATCACAATAAACAACTCAGTGGCTTTTCTTCAACTTGGTGAGACCTTTTATTAGGAAAAATCAGGGGAAAATATTGCGTGCTTCTTTTTGTCTCGCCAGGGCAACGAACTCTTTGATGAGTCTGATAGGTCTCTGCGTCCTGGCAAAGACGCCTAAATTCTTGCTCGATATCAGAAACATCATTGAAGGTCCTTATTTTACAAAAGCATAATTTACTGTTATCTTACTGAATTAGCTCATTTTGGAAATTTCTATGAAATTCGGCAGCAATAAGGACATGGGATATAATTGTCCTTAAAAGGGGTTGTGGCTAGAACCTTAGGAGAACCATGTTGGGGTAAGGTTCCTTACATGAACCATTTCTCTCTTTCTTGGGTTTCTCTTTTTTTAAAAAAAAACTTATTTATTCACTATTAGGGGTACGGATCTTTAGTATATCCTAAACCTCACACTATTCTCCTCTTTCCTTTCCCACTTTTCTCTCTAAAAAACACTTGTTTTCCCCCTCTTTCGATGTAACTATAAAAAAGGCACAATAAAAATTACATTAAAAAAAAAAAAGAACCATGTTGGCACAGATCAAATGTCTATGTACTCAAGCAATCCATTCCACAAAAGCCAACTACATGTTTATGGAGATTTCAGGACACGATTGAAACATTTTCTGTCCAAAAACTGGCATTTACCTAATTTCCTTTTATACCCATTGATGTTCATGACATTTTCAAATCTCCTTTTATCTGTTCTGAATCAGCCACTTTTTTTAGTTTTATTAGATGACAACCCCTTCACACTCCTTCTGCATAATACCATGGGAATTTGGCGTGTATGTTGTCCCTTCACTGAGATTACATGTTTGTTACAGAAAAATTGCAATGTCTTGTGTTCTTTGTGTGATCAAAAAGTGTTATCTTACAATCTGGTTTCATTTGGATAAATTGAGGAATTACAAATAGACTTTCAAATGATGTGTAGACTGCTATGGAAAATCTATAGAAGTTTTTAAAAGTGTTATTACTGTTCATATAACAAATACAAGATGATCTTTACCTTCCTTGTTGTATGCATACAACAAAACACAATATTTTCAAGATGTGTTGGTGAAAAATGTCACATATTATGAGAAACAAAATATCTTTTACCACTTGAAGGAGCATTTCAGGCACTGAATGTCTGCCTTTTTGTGATTGGAATCTGCCTTGAATCCCTTCGGGGAGATAAGACAGATTACAAATATATTATTATTATTATTATTATTATTATTATTATTATTATTATTATTTTCCTGCAAATATGCTAAATGTACAGCTTGCCTCATTTGACAAGAGTAGGGAGATAATTTTTCTCTCTCTAAACTTGCTGGGATACACTTTAGTCCAGTGAAAAATAAAACTACACATCCCACAAAAATCTAAGTGTGAGTATATCTGCAAATGGAACTTCTTAACCATGAAGTGAGCTTCCCAAATACACGTGGTTGCCTCTGTTGTGAAGTAGTTTAAGTTAAGTTTTCTTTAAAACTTGTGTATTTTTTTCTGAGATCTTGAGCCAAGCAGTCTAGTACACCTGACATTTTGTAATTGGTCGTAAGGTGGGTTTTGCCATTTTAACAAAAGATTTTGTAGAGCATAAGTCATTAAATGATACATTAATAAAACAATATTGTATTACAAATGATTGTTTGAAAAAAATACTGAGGCCCATCTAAAGAGAGGAGTGTGTTTTTGGAGAACTTCAGTCTGCATTGTTATGATTTGCAAATATGGTTAGTTTGAACCAAATCTCCTAAAACATATCTTTAGCCTTGATGTACATTTTCCCATCAATGCTACTCTCCATGTCCTAGCTTTCCAGTGGAAAAGAGATGGTTATCTGAGAGCCAATATGAACTATTGGTTGGAATGTTGGCCTATGACTCTGAAGAACGTAGTTTAAATCCAATGTCAATTCCTGTCATTACCCAACAAAATTAAGCAAGCCTTTCTTCTTCAAGAGTTTGACATTGGTATATGGATGACAAAATAATTATCAACATCATATAAATGTTGATCTTCTGAAACAAATTCATTTTTTTCCTTTTTAATTGTATACTGTCTTGGGGAAATAGTTTCCTAATGGGTTATGCTACCTGATTTCAGTACATAGAAAATATTTTAGTTCTCAGTAGGAGTGAACAAAGGACAGCTGGCAGGAGTACAAATGGTTGTAGTCTTAAGGGTGGATGCCCTTTTTTTCCTGAGGTCAAATGTCTGCCTCTGGCTTTATTTTCTTGAAACCTGGCACCGGACAGCTGTTCTGAGATGGAGTCTATCTTCTGATCTATTGAGATGAAGTTGACCTTTTGGATGCTTGCTTTTCTGTTGAACTATAAATCTGTATGCTAGATAAAGCATAAATAATATATAATATTCAATTTCTCTTGCCTTCCATAAGGTTACAATATGCTAGCGAAAGAATGCATTTTAAATGATGTTAAATATACACCTATTGTGTTTACTTTCTGTCATTAAAAGCAGAACCTTGCAGATATTCTGGAACCACATAAAAGGTTGTTTCTCAGCTATTTCACTGTGCTGACCTGTTGATTGAAGATGATTTACAATATGATTATCTGAGACTTACCTGTCCGAATGTATCTCCCTCTATGAACCAGTTTGTAGAATACAATCTTCCGGGGAGGTCCTGCTCTTGGCTCCACCAGCCTCACAGATGCAGTTGGTGGGAATGAGGAACAGGGCCTTCTCGGCAGTGGCCCCACGGCTGTGGAACTCTCTCCCCAGTGAGATCAGGTCGGCTCCCTCCCTCCTGACCTTTAGAAGACAGCTAAAGACCTGGTTGGGGATCCAAACATTTGGCACATCATAGGAATATTTAAAGTTAAAGTTAAAGTTGAAAGTGCAATGACCCAGGACTGTTTAGAGACAACGGTTATGTCTTTGAGAGATATGTGATTTTATGTGCTGTACTTAATAATGTTTAATGTTTTATTAGGGGAGGTCAATTTTGATGTTTTATACAGTTTTTTTTAATCAATGGCATTGAATTATTGCCAACATTGTGAACCGCCCTGAGTCCCCTTTGGGATTGAGAAGGACGGTATACAAATACTGAAAATAAATAAATAATATGATTTAAAGTAAGAATTCTTAATAATGTATTACTTTTACCTTAGGCGGCATATGTATACATGAAAACAGCCTACCTCAGTATTTCAAACCAGAGGATTTCAAACCATTTGGAGAAGATGAAGTTGCCTTATTTAGGTAAGATTACTGAAGTCCAGCTTTATGTCTGTGTTGACCATTCAGAATACAATTGTCCTTTGGTGGCATCTTACATTTAGCACTTCCTTGGAATTGCCATACCTGTTGACTTGTTGCCAAGATGGGGAAGGTTGCTGAGCACCAACTCCTGTCAAGCTTGGCTAGCATGGTTAATGGGAGACATAATCCAACTACATGTAAACCAAATTTTGTATTTACAATCAACTGTCCATATTTGTTGCGGTTAGGGACACAAAATCTTGGCAAAAGTGAAAACCTTCAAGGAAAACATTGACTTTTTTACCTGAGAAAACAACTCTCTAGTAATATCTAAGCTCTTCAATATTACTCTATGGCCTTCTGGCAGATGTTAACTATAGAATTGTACCAGAGGACTTAGAGATTCCCAGAGAGGACGTTTTAATCACACCTGTGAAAAATTAAATCCGTAATGATCAAACCCACAAATGTGGAGCGCCAACTGTATATTTCTTTCTTGGTACTTCACTCAGTTAGAATAACTCTATAAATTCTTTTCACAATAACTGTGTGAAGTAGGATGAATTGATTTATTTATCGTGTCAGAAGCAAACCGAGGGTAGAGTTGTAATGTAAGCAGGTCCTCCATTGTGCATGTGGCAGGACCCAGACTGCATTGTAGTAGGTGGCCTGTGGTTTGCTCTTCTCCATATTCACATGTTGTGGACGCTACTTTGTAGCCCCATTTCTTAAGGTTGGCTCTTCATCTCATGGTGCCAGAGTGCAGTCTGTTCAGCGCCTTCCAAGTTGTCCAGTCTTCTATGTGCCGAGAAGGGAGCCTCTCATTTGGTATCAGCCATTGATTGAGGTTCTGGGTTTTAGCCTGCCATGGCTTGAGGTAGGATGAATTAAGAGATGGGCATTTCCACAGTGAGTTTCATAAGTAAGCAAAGGGATTAGCATATAGTGCCACAAGTTCCTTATGCCTTTTGTCACATTTTTTAAAATAGCAGTGCTTGGGAAGCCTTGAAATATATCATAAGTTGCTACAAAACAAACAAACAAACAAACAAACAAACATCTAGTGCTGATACACTGCAAGATGGGGACAGACAGTAACGATTGCAGCAATAATTCCAAAATGATGGCAGTTCTAGTGTTATTGATTTTTCAGCAGCTGTATTCCAATGTTGATATTCAATATTTCATGTTCATGTTCTTTCTGCCAGATAATAAGCATTTATACTTGGGGGGGGGGGGAGCTGGGGAATTGCCACAGTGGCGTCTCGTGGAAGCTTAAGCTGTTGGATTTCAGGAAGCTCAGCCAGCCAGATTCAACCCCAAGGACTGAGGTTTCCCGCCTTCCACCAAGCTGTACCCTGATTTCATACAATCTTGCCTCATAATTTAGTCCCAATAAAAGTTTCTCCATTTGTACTATCTGGTGGTGAGCTACTTTCACTGTTTAGAGGAGTTCCCCCTCAAAAGTCTCTTTTTCTTATTTAAAGGAAAACAACAGCCAGTATTTTCAACTTTTTCTTGCAAGTCTAGGAACAAGGCTTCGAAATATGTAGTTCGATTTAATGGAGCTTATTCCGTTTGCTTATTTTAAGTCACATTCCTTTTGCGGTGTACACATGTTACAATATATCCATAACTGATTTTGCTGTAGACCAAAATGATGGCCATTTTCACAGTGAGTTTTATTGATAACGTGGGTCTTCTTGTCCAAAGCTGGCCTTCTCTATAGTCACCGTATGGCACTTCTTCACTGTTTGCTTCTCTAGAGTGCGTGTTGATTCATCTGTAAAATTACATCCTTCTGTTGGACAATGTAAATGACAAAATATGTAAACATACATTGTTTTTCAATTCTGCCTTTGTCTTTCTCCACCTTATAGTTTATCAGGGGAGTACAATGTGTTATAGAAGAACCTGTTTAAGTTTGTCCAATCTTCTTCCGTCAGGGCTGTGTCTGCCTTAAAACTGAAAATAGCAGGAAAGTCCTTGCCTACAGAAAAAGTTTGCAATTTGGAAATCCTGGTGATACATCTCCTCAGATCCTGTTCTACTTCCTGTGCCTGCTTTGCTAAGATGGAGAGGCTTTCCATACAGTGTTTCACAGTAGTTATTTTTTTTAAAGACATCTATAAAAATAAATATCTGGTGAAGGGTTTTAAATTCGTCCATTGCTGCAGTTGGTATACATGCCACGGCTTCCATATGGACAGAGGAAGGGTATATTTTACCAAGGTCCAGTCCATGCTGCAGTTCACATTGCCTTCAGGAAAAAAGGGTGTGGGTTATATATGAGAATATTTAGGAAAGCTAATTTGATTCTGTTTAGAGATAGTTTGAGCTTATGCAAATGGTTAGACGGCATGAATATTCTGTTAACAGAAATGTTGATCCGTAAAGTGGAGCTAATTAAAGGATCTGAAAAAACAGACATTTTCACAAGTGTTATACCCATGCATTGCAATTTTGTACTGCAAGTCGCTTCTGGTGTGAGAGAATCGGCTGTTTGCAAGGACATTGCCCAGGGAACACCTGGAGGTGTTACCATTCTGTGGGAGACTTCTCTCATGTCCCCATATGGGAAGCTGGGGCTGACAGATGGGAGCTCACCCCATCTCGCAGATTTGAACTACTGACCTTCAGATCAGCAGTTCAGCCAGCACAAGTGTTTAACCCATTGCTCCAGCACAGCAATGCATTCTCAATTCACTTCTGACATGATAAAAAAAATTCAATTTTGTGTTAATTATCTTGTCCAAGGTACCAGACACAGCCACTGTGGGACAAAATGGAGTTGGTGGGCACGATCACACAGATTTGTGACCCTACCCTCCACAAGCCAGTACAAGAAGTGCACCATTTGGGGGCAGCCAATGAGTTTGATTGGAGCCAAGACCAACTAGTGTGAAAACAAGATTTTCACTCCATTTGGGCAGAGAGATTTAAAGGCCCTGCTCAGAGTCCCTCCTGGCAGTTGCCTTCGACCGACCCACTTACCCTTTAATGTCTTGTGTATCACGCTTGCTGATGTTGTCATATACTATCTTTGTCCCAACTTTGTGGGCACTTGACATGGGCCCTAGATCAGAATTCAGAGTAACAGACTCATCGATCAACAGAAGATTGGTTGATGCTGAGATCCAGGACTCATGTGTGGTATCCAGCCCTATTGACAGTGGTAACAAAAAAAAAGTGTGACCTTTATTGTTCCAATGTACCAGTATGTGTATATAATTTGGATGGAGCGGTCTTGCACTGTATATGCCAGGTCCTTCTTTCATTTAGTTCCTACGCTGCACTATAAGTTTAAATTGCAGTTCGCCATTTCAGATGCCTTTTTGTTTTAATCTTCAGGAAGCACATACTTATTCTGTTAAATGTACCACCTCTGTGGATAATTTTTTCTAAAGAGATCTAAATTGAAAAATAATATTAACTTACATTATTAGAAGTGTTTGACATAAACGATTGGAACTAGTTTCCATAGCTCTTGGGACTTTTATTTCTATTCTGTGCATATTGTCAATGGCTGTGACAGAAACTAAAGGTAATTTCAGCAAGCTTGTACTCCTCAAAACTATAGGCATTCTGCAATGGGCTAGAAATGCTGAGCTGTCTATCTATCTTGTCTACTGAGTGCGGACTTGCAAGAGAAATTGGCTATGGCCAAGAATCTGTAATGATATTAAGCAAGGAAAAATCCCTAAATCAAGTTATATACGTGTATGCATGAGTATGCATACATAAATAAATATATAGACAGAATAGCAAATGAGAGAGAGCAAGAATGTGATATAGCAGTTTAAGCATTAGACAACCGGCCCTTCCACACAGCTCTATATCCCAGGATATAAAGGCAGAAAATCCCACAATACCTACTTTTAACTGGGTTATCTGAGTCCACACTGCCATATATTCCAGTTCAAAGCAATTTTGTTGTGTTTGAATCTTTATATGTAGCAACAACACAGCACAACACACTTGTATCAATTGAGCATTAATTGATATATTTTATTGAACATGGAACAGACTATGAATTCTTCTTCCTGGGGAAACCCATCTTTTAACTCCTCCTGAGCCACAAATGAAGACATTTGCAGCAATCCAGGTGGAAGGCAATGCAGAGAAGGCAAAAAACCCGTTTCCACCCAGAGCCAATTTGGGGGTGACGGGGAAAAATTCCTTCTCGGCTCCAATTAAGGCAACCAGCCACAGCCTGCATTGCCAGGTTAAAAGATGGGAACACTGAGAACGGATGCATTATGGAGTCCTGGGTTCCTCTTGCGTTCATAGCAGGCTTCTTTTCCAGGGAACAGATTTGTCTTGAATATAAGTCTTCAGCTTTGTCTCTTCCTTTGGTTTCAGTCAGTTTGGACACCAGAGCAAGGATGGAATAACCTTTTGCTTCAAATCACTTCTTTACTTTCATGTCTTCATTTGGTTTCAGATGGTTTGGACGTCCATGAGATGATACAATCTTCCTTCCTTCCTTCCTTCCTTCCTTCCTTCCTTCCTTCCTTCCTTCCTTCCTTCCTTCCTTCCTTCCTTCCTGTCTTCCTCCAGTGCCTTAACCTTCTAGACCTGCAAGAAGAGGGATGGATCCCATGCATACCAACCTCATCCAATCTCGACGACAGAAAAACAGCCCGATGGGGGCTCACCTAGGGCATGGGATTCCACTAATATAGCTGAAGCCCTGCTTGTTTTGGACTACGACGCCCAGAATCGCCCCTTAGGATAGAGAGAATCCTGGGAGATGTAGTCTAAAAAGCAGACTTATCCCAACTTGGACATACTTACCTGCTCTTTGAAGGAAGGCACTGGAAATACTTACCTGGATGGTAGCAAGTGGGCAAAAGGAAGGGTAAATCTCTTTCTGATTTTTTTCCTGATTTTTCTAAAAATAGAAGAAAAATCCTCATCCATTCCTAGATTCTAGTAAACACTTCTTTAGATTCCTACTTGAATTTTTCTTCTTTTGCTGTTGAAGGTTATGATAAATAACCATAATGATTAATGTTGGATTTGCTGCAACTGACAATGACATGCTTCTTCTTGAATGGTTTGAAAATAGGAAATTATAAGCCCCAATTGAGACTGAAGCGAAACATTGCTTGTCTGTCCAACATCCCAGCAAGAAGTCATTGTAGGCCCAGAAACAGAGGTATTTATACATATGTGGTTGTATTATGACTTCAGGAAGAGTCTGTTGTGATGCTGGCACATTGGTGAATTTGTAAGTAGCTTAGTTGTATTTCATATTACAGTATTTGAAAGCTCCTGTGCTGATAACATATTATTGAATCCCTTTTGGAATATTTTTGAGTCCTGTTTAAGAGAGGACACTCTCTTGTGACCCCCCCCCCTCCCGGGGTCCCGACCCCCAGGTTGAGAAACACTGCTTTACAGTATTTAAGCATAAGTGTTTCTGCTTACCAATCTTGTTGTTTAGCTGCGCCGCAAAGATTCCTGAAGTTTCTGTGAAGAAGTGGATGGATGGATGTTCACACCTGTGCTGGAATGTACTCATTAGTCCAAAGGGCCTGCAGGATTCCTCCCTTCCCTGTCACTTTTCATTCTGTGCTGAAATAGATGAATCCTGCTCTCTCTTTGAAATCTGCTGAAGCCACGTCACAGTGGGCAGCAGGTGGCGCTCAGAAACAATTACGCTCCAGCCCAAAGAACTGGAAATCGAAATTAAACTATTTATAGCAGCCTGTTAATAGTTAACTAACTACAGCAGGGCCTATTTCAGTTTGGAGCAAAAGTGCCTTACTGCTAGAAGCTTTTAATTTAAAATATGGAGAGAAATGTCGTTTAGATTTCTGGCTTACTTCTTTAGATTCCTACTTGAGTAGTTACAGCAAAAAGCATTTCTCAATTCAGTTGCACAATTGTTTGGCTCTGTAAGATACACCAGGTGGTACTGCTACAGTTGAATGGGTTTGTAATCTGTCAAGACAAGAAGGAAAATTAATCTGCAGTATGATTTAGCAAAGAGAACTCCTAAATCCAAAGCAGCTGGGAGGAATGTGTAGGCTGGAATAAAACACCTTCGGGTTGCTTTGAATTTTCTAGGCTGTATGGCCATGTTCCAGATGCATTGTCTCCTGACGTTTCACCTACATCTATGGCAGGCATACTCAGAGGTTGTGAGGTCTGTTGGAGACTAGGCAAGTGAGGTTTATATATATTTGTGGATGTGGGCGAAACGTCAGGAGAGAATGCTTTGGAACATGGTGATTCTGGTCATGAAATCCTTCGACAACAAATAAAACACCTTTGTTTTGACTTCTACATATAGTGTAAGAATTTTTGGAAGATTTTTCGGAAGGCATGAGTGTGTATTGTTGTTGTTATATGCCCAATCCTAAAGTGAACCTATAACAAATTTGTCTTGGCATAATTCATTCAGAGGGAGGTTGCCAAGGCCTTAAACTCAGTTTGCAGCTATTGAACTAATCTGAACCAAGTGGGAGGAAAGCAGCTGAAAAAATGAGATGACAGAGGATTGCTCAGGATTGTTGCCAGATTGGGATAGTTGGGTGTATGCCGACATTCGAAGGATCAGAAATTGCCTGCTTTGTTTAAGAATATTTAGATGCTACCTTGAGCAAAAGTGCTATGTCAATTCTTTCAAACAGGGCAGGATGTGGTATGTGTAAACCATAAGTAAACCAAGGAACATGCTTTCCAGAATGAATGGATTGGTTTATTTCAGTCATGGACGAGAACAAGCCTCTTCCTAGTTTCTCACATGACCACACATATAAACAAGGCAAGAATATGACAATTCCTGTCATACTTTCCTGAGAGCAAATTATAGTGGGCATAGTTGGATGCACCTTTGTGTAGACCAGTGGTTCTCAAACTTCCTAATGCCGTGACCCCTTAATACAGTCCCTCATGTTGTGGTGACCCCCAACCATAATATTGTTTTTGTTGCTACTTCATAACAGTCATTTTACTACTGTTATAAATCATAATGTAAATATCTGATATGCAAGATGTATTTTCATTCACTGGACCAAACTGGGCACAAATACCCAATACACCCAAATGTGAATGCTAGTGGGGTTGGGGGAGGATTGATTTTGTAATTTGGGAGTTGTAGTTGCTGGGATTTATAGTTCACCTATAATCAAAGAGCATTCTGAACTCCACCAGCGATGGATTTGAACCCAATTTGCCACACAGAACTCCCATGACCAACGGAAAACACTGGAAGGGTTTGGTGGGTATTGACCTTGAGTTTGGGAGTTGTAGTTCACCTATATCCAGAGAGCACTGTGGACTTATGCAATGGTGGATCTGGACCAAACTTGGCAGAAATACTCAATATGCCCAAATTGGAACACTGGTGGAGCCTGGGGAAAATAGACCTTGACTTTTGGGAGTTGTAGTTGCTGGGATTTATAGGTCATTACAATCAAAGAACATTCTGAACTCCAACAACGCTAGAATTGGCTCAAACATCCCACATGGAATCCCCATGACCATCAGAAAATACTGTGTTTTCTGGTCTTTGGTGACCCCTCTGACACCCCTTCGCGACCCCCTCAGGGGTCCCGACCCCCAGGTTGAGCAACACTGGTGTAGACCTCCAAAAGTTTGCACAATATCAAAAAAAACTGTAGCCTTGTTTTACCTATTGTAGCAGATGAGCATTAGGAGAAATTTACTGAGTCTTCCTATATTCAGAGTCTTCCTATAAAGCTTATTCAGAGTCTTCCTATAAAGCAGGCATGGATAAACTTATTCAGAGTCTTCCTATAAAGCAGGCATGGATAAACTTATTCAGAGTCTTCCTATAAAGCAGGCATGGATAAACTTTGGCCCTCCAGGTGTTTTGGACTTCAATTCTCACAATTCCCAACAGCCAGGAGGCTGCTAGGAATTGTGGGAGTTGAAGTCCAAAACACCTGGAGGGCCAAAGTTTGTACATGTCTGCTATAGAGCAATATACGTCATCTATCCCTTATCTGTAATGCTTGAAACGAGATGTATTTTGGATTTCATTTTTTTTCAGATTATGCAATATCTGTATTTGCATATATTTACTTAATAGCATATCAGGGAGATGGAACCCAATACAGGAAATTCATGTATAGTTTTATATATTTTATGTAGTTTTATGCAACCTTATACAGCTTGAAGATAATTCTATATAATATTCTTAATAGCATTGTGTGTGAAACAAAGTTCGTGATTTGAACTCCTTGGATTTTGGGATATTTTGGATTATGGAATACCAAATGCAGGATGCTAAACTTGTATTCTATTTTCACTGATGCAATTGTACACATATCTACTCAGTAGGATTTGTTATCTAAGTGGGACACCTAGAGGTCCATTGCATTTTTAGTTTCTTTTTGACAATCATGTTATTGTGTTGCTGGAGGCTTTCATGATCGGAATCACTGGGTTACTGTGAATTTTCCAGGCTGTGTGGCCATGTTTCAGAAGTATTCTCTCCTGATGTTTTGCCCACATCTATGGCAGGTATTCTCAGCGGCTGTTAGGAACTGTGGGAGTTGAAGTCCAAAACACCCGGAGGGCCAAAGTTTGCCCATGCCCAGAATATACCCTCATTTTTGTCACATACCTTACAAATTACATGTCTCCCTATTTTCATCTGTAAGTAGATATAGTATGATGTGATGAGAGGAAGAACCAGTGCTGCTGGTTTTCTTGGGAAGCTGTGTGGATCTTGGATGTCAAGAATGGTAAAGGAGGGATGGAATAGGCAAGAAGTAAATGATATCTTGATTTTAGGAAAAGGAATGCAGTTTAATTTTTTTATATATATAAAAAAACCATGATTTTGAATGGAAACCAATAGGGTTGTGTTGGTGACAGAAAGAGAGTATTGAGACTAGAAGCCTATTGATCAGAGAAACCAAATAATTGAGAGTTTGAACTGCAAGTGGAAACATTCAAATCTCACAGAGATGTAAACACTAACAATTCAACAAGACTTGTGGTTTTGTTGTTATTACAACAGGCACCTACAGCTACTCCTATGGGTGAAGGGCATATCTGGCTGTATTTCAAATATAAGCATTTACAGAAACATTAAGCATTTACTTAATAAGGGCCTCAGTGGCACAGCAGGTTAAACTGCTAAGCTGCAGAACTTTCTGACCAGAAGGTCGGCAATTCAAATCCGCAGGATGGGGTGAGCTTCCATTGCCAGCCTCAGCTTCTGTCAACCTAACAGTTCAAAAACATGCAAATGTGAGTAGATCAATAGGTACTGCTTTGCCAGGAAGGTAACGGCGCTCCATGTAGTCATGCCAGCCACATTACTTTGGAGGTGTCTACGGACAACGCTGGCTCTTCAGCTTAGAAATGGAGACAAGCATGACTTCCCAGAGTTGGACACGACTAGACTCAATGTCTTTTAAAGTATTGACAGAAGCATTTCACCTATTAAAAGTATATTTTAATTAACAGGCTAGTGAATTCTCATGACCAAGGCCCCTGTTCTCTCCACCATCATATGTCTGTTTTCTGTTCCTTAATTACTTGTAGGAGATGATATATGCCTGGAATGGTTGTGCGGTGATTGGAAAGTGTCTTGATCCGACTGAAGGTATTTTGAACACTTTGGTAGATGCAGAAACAGCTCTGGAAAAACACCCAGGTAACTCATGTCTAATTTCAGAAGATGCATCATTGTACAGGGTGAAAGGCAGTTGGAGAGATTGCAGTTGTCTTGTGGAGTCCAAAGAAGTTAAACCTATTAATCAATTTTTCTTTCTTTAGTCAGTGATGAGATTACACAACAGAGAGCAGGTGATAAAGACTGTAGCTGTATTTTGCTGTTCCTTTGTTTTTGTTGTCCTCCCTCTTTACTACTTGTTTGCATTATTTCTGGGAGGTCATGCTTGTCTCCATCTTAGGTTTAGTTTTGGGTGTAATTTTAGTAATCTGCTTTTCCTGATACAAACCTATCAACTTCAGTCTTTTCGTTTTGAAAGAGAATGCTTATTGCTCCAACTCAGGGCATGAAAGAAAGGCAGATATGTGCACAGGATAGCAGGTCAGAAGCCGCGGTGGCACAATGAGTTAAACCCTTGTGCTGGCTGGACTGCAGACCTGAAGTTCGGCAGTTTGAATCCGTGAGATGGGATGAGCTCCCATCTGTCAGCTCCAGCATCCCATGCAGGGACATGAGAGAAACCTCCCATAGGATGATAAAACATCCAGGCATGCCCTGGGCAATGTCCTTGCAGACGTCCGATTTTCTCACACCAGAAGCAACTTGCAGTTTCTCAAGCCACTTCTGGCACAAAAAAATAAAGGCAGGGCAAAATCAAAAGTAATATTATGTATTTAGATAAGAATGTAAACTAGAATGGGCTCATTGACTTTGTGCAACCTTGAGGATTTCAGTATTCTCACACCATATCTTCAAACAAATCCCATATATGATAGGAACCGTCCCTCTGTTGCCTCTATTTTTCAGCTGTTTTTAAAATGCCCCAATTTACTCGTCCTCTTATCCTTCCCAGCAGACTCATATAAAACAAACTGCTGCAGCCTCTCCTAGATTTTGCCATCTTAACCACACTCTGATGCTACTTGAGCCACATGTGTCCTGGTTTTCCATCTGTGAAATGTTGGAGCTTATGCCAAACGCACCCCTTAAACAAAACACTTGAAGGCTCCTTGCTCTCTCTAGGAAGCCCTCTTTCTATATTCTCACCCCTCCCTCTTTTGAGATTGCAGAGGCCTTTTTGCAAACCTGTAAGTGACTTCCTTATGTCCTTATAATTACTGCCACAAGCAACTGAAGCAAAGAGGAACCCATAACTATAAGAGTGCAGTCTAGCAAGGCAGAAGAACGTGCCTAGAGCCAAATTAGGTCAGGCTTTAAAATCTGCTGCTCTGCTGCAGTCATCTGGATCCTCTCTGGTAAGCCACTCTCCTTACCAGACTATTTTTGGAGCCACCTGTCAGCAATTTTCCCCTCCTTTTGCTCTCATGACTCAACACGCTTGATTCTCCTCTCTCTTCTCACATTCCCCTTCCCAACCATCATTTTTGAAATGTTATTTTGAACAATCTGGGTCAACCAGTACACACTGTCCCACCCCACTTTTTAAAAAAGCAACTTGGATCTTTGGTTTTTCTCTTGTCTATTGCAATTGGTTTTCTCTGAAGCGCTTCCCCTTGTGTTCTCTCAATTGCCAAGAATCAGTTCTATTCATCTTCAAAATCTTCCCTCAGCAGGGAATAAACAGTGGAAATGAACATACTGCGGTGGTGATTATGATTGTGCGTATGTCACAAACACAATCCTCTACTCTCATCACATTTCTTTGATTCCATTTTTATTTCTTCTCCAGTTGTGCTAGGTCTTATCTATTGTATCTGACCTCTGTGGCATATTTTGAAGATTACTGTGGCTATTTTAATATTTCAATAAATTCTCCCAAGTTACCATAACTTGATATTTAGTAAAGGTAAAGGCTTTCCCCTGACATTAAGTCTGGCGTTATCTGTAGACAAGGTCATGTGGCTGGCATGACTGCATGGAGCGCTGTTACCTGTCCCACCAGAGCGGTACCTATTGATCTATTCACATTTGCATGTTTTTGAACTGCAAAGTTGGCAGAAGCTGGAGCTAACAGTGGGAGCTCACCCTGCTCCCCGGATTTGAACCGATGACCTTTCAGCTCAGCAAGTCAGGAGCTCAGCAGTGGGACCTTGATATTTAAATAATCAGAAATTTGGAGTGGCCCCATATCATTTAGTCCAGATATGGGCAAACTTTCTACCTTGGGGGCCATATGGTGGGCAGGAGCAGGGTGGGCAAGCCAGGAGGAAGAGGGTTCTCCCCAAGCCCCCTCCCTGCCCTTTCCTCTCCTTCCTCTACTCTTTCAGAAGCAGAAAGTGAAGGAAAGATAGGAAATGTTTGGATGAGAAAAGGGTGGGTCTTGATCAGGATAAGATGGTAGATGGGGGAGAAAAAGTGTATCTGTTAGACACCACATTGCCTACTCCTGATATACGATATATGTATAATCTTAGAATCCTAGAGCTGGAAGAGACCTCCAAGGGCCATCCACTATCTACCATGCAAGAAGTCACAATCAAAGAACTCCCGATTGACAGCCTCTGTGGAAAAGCCTCCAGAGAAAGAGACTCCACCACACTTTGAGGCAGCCTATGCCACATTCCAATAGCTCTTACTCTCAGGAAGTTCTTCCTAATCTTTTCAATCAAATCTCTTTCCCTGCCATTTGAAACCATTGCTGCTTTGTGACCTGGTCTCTAGAGGAGCAGAAATTTACCCCCCCCCCTCCTCCTCAATTGGACACCAAAAGAGATTCAATAATATGTTATCAGCAAAGGAGTTTTCAAATACTGTAATATGAAATACAAGTAAGCTACCTACAAATTCACCAATGTGCCAGCATCACAATAGACCCCTCCTGAAGTCATAATACAACAAGTCATAATACATATGTATTTATACATATGTATAAATACCTCTGTTTCTGGGCCCACAATGACTTCCTGCTGGGATGTTGGACAGACAAGAAATGTTTCGCTTCAGTCTCAATTGGGGCTTATAATTTCCTATTTTCAAACCATTCAGGAGCATCAAAGAGAGATGTCAGAGTGGAGAATCATGTCATTGTCAATTGCAGCAAATCCAACATTAATAATTATGATTATTTATCATAACCTTCAACTGTAAAAGAAGAAAAGGGAATTCAGAAATGTGTTTACTAGAATCTAGGGATGGATGAGAATTTTTCTTCTATTTTGAGAAAAATCAGAAAAATTCAGAAAGAGATTGACCCACTTAGCCCTTCCTTTTGCCTACTTCCTATTGTTCAGGTAAGTATTTCCAGTGCCTTCCTTCAAAAAGCAGGTAAGTATATCCAAGCTGGGATAAGTCTGCTTTTTAGACTACATCTCCCAGGATGCTCTTTATCCCAAGGGGCGATTCTGGGCGTCGTAGTCCAAAACAAGCAGGGCTTCAGCTATATTAGTGGAATCCCATGCCCTAGGTGAGCCCCCATCGGGCTGTTTTTCTGTCGTCGAGATTGGATGAGGTTGGTATGCATGGGATCCATCCCTCTTCTTGCAGGTCTAGAAGGTTAAGGCACTGGAGGAAGACAGGAAGGAAGGAAGGAAGGAAGGAAGGAAGGAAGGAAGGAAGATTGTATACTTTCATGGGTCTCCAAGCCATCTGAAACCAAATGAAGACATGAAAGTGAAGAAGTGATTTAAAGCAAAAAGGGGCCAGTTTCTTTTGAGGGCCAACAGTGCTCTTCAACGTTCAGGGACCAACCTTTGAAAGCGGAAGCAGACTAGGGACCCTTCCAGACAGGCCCTACATCCCAGGATTGAATCCCAGTTTTTTTGTTTATCCAAGATTATCTGGCAGTGCGATCTCATGTGATCCAGTTTAAAACAGAAAACCTGGGATCAGTTCCTGGGATATAGGGCCTATCTGGAAGGAAAGGAAGAAGAGAGATGAGACGAGACGAGATGAGAAGGAAGTAGCGATAGAAGAGAAAGAAGGAAGGGAAGAACAGAGAAAGTGGGAAGGAAGTAAAAAAAAGGAAAGAAAGTTAATTCCATCTTTGCAAAGCTGAAGACCTATATTCAAGACAAAACAGTTCCCTGGAAAAGAAGCCCACTATGAACACAAGAGGAACCCAGGGCTCCATAATGCATCCGTTCTCAATGTTCCCATCTTTTAACCCGGCAATGCAGGCTGTGGCTGGTTGCCTGAATTGGAGCCGAGAAGGAATTTTTCCCCGTCACCCCCAAATTGGCTCTGGGTGGAAACGGGTTTTTTTGCCTTCTCTGCATTGCCTTCCACCTGGATTGCTGCAAATGTCTTGATTTGTGGCTCAGGAGGAGTTAAAAGATGGGTTTCCCCAGGAAGAAGAATTCATAGTCTCTTCCATGTTCAATAAAGTACATCTGTTAATGCTCAATTGATACAAGTGTGTTGTGCTTTGTTGTTGCTTCATATAAAGATTCAAACACAATAAAATAAAATATACGGCTGCTAAGCAATTTCTCCACCATAGTTCTGTTGCAAGTTGCTTCTAGGAAGCCACTAAACGGACTCTGCTCGGCACCACAAGATGCAGAGCCAACCTTAAAAAATGGGGCCACAATGTGAGTCCACGACATGCAAGTGTGGAGAAAAGAAAACCACAGACCTCCCTATTACAATGCAGTCTGAGCCCTGCCACATGCACAATGGAGGACCTTCTTATAGCAACACCAGAGGCACTCCCAAGTGGCCAGCTACTGGTCAAAGGACATTTAGCATAATGCCAAGTTTTTAAAACTTTGTGTTTTTAAATATAGTATAACTTTACCCTCGGTTCACTTCAGATAAAATAAATAAWTAATTGTAGTTCTAAGTATACCGTCTGTGATAAATTGTAAAAGAATATTACCTTTCCCACAAAAACTTATTTTTTTCACAAAAAAAGTACCTGATTTTGTCTCCACTGGTGAGAAAATATTCACCACAACCCTGTTGGAAAATGAAAATATGAACCTCTTAAAGGACATGTTAATATTTTAAGGGCCAATATTTTAAATATATTTATTGCTTTTTAATGTATTTTTATTGCTGTTGACTTGTTTATGTTAATTGTTGTGCTTTAACTTTAAATTGGCAGTCATTAGGTGTGARGGCATCTAATGACTGCCAATTGTAAGCTGCCACATCTAGCCCCCAGACCTGGATTTGCCCATACCTGTAATATGCAAAAGGGAAGGAAGCAGAGAGAYAAGGGGAAGGAAGGAAGGAAGGAGGGAGGGAGGGAAGAGGGAAGGAAGGACAAAAGGGTGGAAAGGAAGGGAGGGAGGGAGGGAGGAAAGAGAGAAGGAAGGAAGGATAGGATGGTGAGAGAGAGGAGGGTCTGAGAYAAGAGCCCAAGGAGCTGCATCCAGCCCCCGGGCCTGGGTTTATCCATACCTGCCTTAGTCACACTCCCATTTGCCTAGGATGTCTCAGTGTGTGTCTTATTTAGACAAGGCCGGATTAAGGTGGTTTCTGTGCTACAGCTGTTTTGAAAACATGCCCTCCCTTATATGCACATATTGTAGCACCTCCATTGAGGGCTTTAAAAAAAAGCACCTCCATTGGAGGGCTGACTTTGCAGAGAGAAGTCCTCCTTGGGACCAGGGCCATGTACTTTCAGGCCTGACAGGAGAAACAGCTCTGAGCATCTCTTCTGCTTTTACCCCAACAACAGACAAATCGATTCACTCCACAACTGGGAAATGGAATGGGAATTGTTTGTAAACGTTACCAATCCATGGGCAGATCTATAGGTTCCTCTACCCAGCATAATTTCTTCATTTAAATTGTATTACAGCACTAGAAAATACAGCCAGCATGTTGTAGTGCTTTGGGTGTTAGACTAGGGCCCTTGAGAGCAAGGTTCAGATCCACACTTGGCCATGGAAACCAACTGGGGGACCTTGAGCAATTCACACTTTCTAAGGTTGAAAGGAACATAGTGGCAACTCATTCCCTTGAGCAAATCTTGCCAAGAAAACTCTGTGATAGGCTCACCTTAATGTTGGAGACAGTTTGAAGGCACACAACTAGAAAAGTGTGAGGGGAAAGTGGGTTGTCAGTAGCAGCCCACGGATCTTAGCCACTTTTGCTCCCACTGAATTCAACCTTGCATTGAGATAATAAGGGAACTATGAACAGAATGGATAGGTTTTCAGCACCTTCCCTCTCTCTTCTGTTCAAAGTAAGCACATCTTATTATGCCGTGATGCTTGTTGTTTGCCTTGTCAGCCACAGATATGTTGATGGCCAGTGTGTGATAAGGCTGCTGAAAGATTTATCCCTGAAATACCGGGCAAGATTTCAGAGGCAGAGGACCATTTTACTTACATTCACTTCAAGTCAGTGTCTGCTCCTGAGAAACACAGTATTAGCATGCTAACAAATAGTGTTAATACCAAGTGTGTTTGGTTATTACACTGTGTGATCCCTCGACTGATGGACATCAGTAATTGTGTGTAACTGTTGGAACCAATTCATCACTTGCTGAGCAATCTTCAGGTAAGTAGCCTTTTTGTACTTAACTAGGCTACTTATATGAAAGCAAACTTGCATTCTGTTACTAGGTATTCCATACCCGAAGCCTTGCCAGTTTGATAGAATCCTGGGGAACAGTCGGGACAGTTGTGTGTCCATTGGAACAGACAATTGTCAAGCCAACCTTCCAAGAACTTTCTGGCTTGAAGGATCTCACCAAGGAAGTTATGCAACGGCAGATTGGCAACTCAGCACTAAAAGTCTTCTTATTTTGTCCCTGCTGCCACCTTCTTCCATGACTGTGGAGATGATAGCCTACATATTGTTGTTGCACTTGACTAGGATAGACCTACTGAATGAATAGGATTTTCCTGTGTGTTGACTTACCCTTCAATAATAGATACTAGTTGGGACGAACTATCAATCTACTAGCCACTAGTCTAATGAACTAATGAAATGTTTTCATGGAATTTCATCAAAATTAACAAAGAATAGAAGTTCATGAAATGTGTAGTTAACATGAACAGGATCGGAATTCTTTATCCAAAATGCTTGGGACCAGAGTTGTTTTAGATTTCATCCCCCACCCCCATTTTTGAGTACTCATCCTTGCATGTATGAGGGGTGGATGAAAGAAACCACTGTGGGATGACCAAACAGTTGCTGTGGGGGACAGCAACTCTTCATCATACTTCCTGCTAAATTTCACTTGTGTGCGAGGTGCTGCTCTCTCACAACAATGACAGGGTTGGGGGGGGGGGGACACACAAGAAAATTGGCAATTCCCAGAAGTGAGATCTATGTTGTGGATCATGCCATCATTCACTTTCCCTGTAAGAAATCAATGATTGTGCTTCAACTGATCATTGCACCCACCATATTTGCCTGACCTCGCACTGTCAGATTTCCACCTTTCCCCCGCTATGAAGATAAGCTTGAAAGGAAAGCATTTCCTGTCCGACAACACTGTCAGGGTTGCTGTGAATGACTGGTACAACTCCCAGAGGAAATTAATTTTTCCCAAGGGTTGACTAACCTGGAGCATAGATGAGAAAAATGTGTCAAAGAGGAAGGGGAGAATGTGGAACAGCCGTGAAGTTTCATCGCTATCCTATAACTGCATCACAGGTAGGATGAAGATTTTCATCCCCCCTCATATATAAACAATAATGTACCTTGGAGATGAGATCCAAGTCTAAACACAAAATTCATTTATGTTTCACATACACCTTATACACATAGCCTGAAGGTTATTTTATGCAATATTTTGTACAGGAAACAAAGTTTGTGTATACTGAACTAAAACCAAAGGTACCGTATTTGTAATAAGAAATTCAATGTGCAAATTTGATAAATGTGAATTTAATATGATGTGTTGGAATGAATGGAAGAATGGAAGATGAATGTATGGATGGAGTTAGTAATTTTGGAAACACCAAAATAATATTAAGGCCTGCAATGACTAACTACCTGCTTGCTGGACTTGCTAATGAGAAGCTGTGATAAGAACTGGGACAGTGATAACGGAAATGTTTGCAACATTCCTTATGTTAAGAAGGAAGTCTACACAAGTCTTGTGTTTGTTAACACCAATCAAGGAGCTCAACACTGAGATGGATCCAGGATGGAAGATGTCTATCATTAATTTACAACAGAATATTCCTATAAAAGACTCAGTCTAATAATGCTCAAATTGTGGCAGACCGAGGAGTCTATTCCACCCGCCATGCTCTGCTCCATGGGAAGGAGAGAGATGGTGTATTTGGAGAGTGTCAGATATGCTATGGGAAAGCATGATTCTGGACACTTTGGGGCTTCTTTCTCAAGGGAAGAGGAAGAGGTGCGCCTTTGAAGTCTTAGATTTTGTGTAGGGAGTCAGAGATCTGGTCCTTGGCATTGGTCTTAGGGAAAGAAGTTTTGGCATTTCGGCGTTTTGAAGTTTTGGCGTTATGGAACTATGCATTGGCAGGCTGCAAGAAATCAGGGTCTGGCCTAACAGGTGCTTCTCCAAGGAGGGAGAAAAGGATATGGTGATACTTGAATGCCTGAGGATGAATGCATGTACATGTGTGTGAATGTTAAATGAAAATGTAATTCCCCTTTGTTTGTTTGTTACCCAATGTAATTGTAAATCCAATATAGTTGCATAGAATCTGTATGTCCAATGTCATTCTTTGTCTAAATGTTTTCTGTAATCTGATATACCTTCTTATTGAAAAGTCATTCATGACATATTTTCCGGTGTAGAAGATGACTGGGCATATAAGACGACCCCCAACTTTTCCATCTAAAATTAAGTGTTTAGGATATACTCACCATATAAGACCACCCCTCTTTTTGTAGTAGCTTGAGAGAGTTTTCTTCTTACCGGGCTTGAGGGTTGTCTTCTGCCGGAGGCTCACGGCGAGGGAGAGCCACCATAGGTCGACGGCAGGGACAGCCCAGTGGTCTCCATGGCAATGCAGCTTGCCACTCCTCCTCCATGTGCCCTCCCTCTGCTCTCCTCCTCCTCCTGCCATGCCTGGGGAAGAGGAGAGCTTTCTTCATTCCAGGCTTGAGGGTTGTCTTCTGCCAGAGGATCATGGCGAGGAAGAGCCAACACTGGGCCGGCGGTGGCAGGGACAGCCCAGTGGTTTCCATGGCAATGTGGCTTGCCACTCCTCCCCGCGCCCTCCATCTCCTCCTCCATCCTCCCCCCTCCAACTCTTCCTTCTCCTCCTCAGGCTACACCGCTTGGGCTGCCGAGGGCAAAGAGGCGGGCAGCTGCCTGCCCGCAGGAGCGGAGCACCCGAAGCAGTTTCTGCTGCTGCACCCCTCTGCCACCGCTTGGCTCCCTCTATCAGGCTTCAGTCTCCCTGAGGGGCTCCTCCACTCCATGCCCACCTTGGTGGTGGCAGCAGAGGAAAAGGAAGCGGCAACATGAGGGAGCTACTGGGCGACGGAGAGGAGGAGGAGGAGAAGCTGCCTGAAAGACTTGAGGCTTTTGCTTGACACCCTTGCCAAAGTAAGCACCCACCCTTTAAGCAACATTTACTCATCCCTTCCAAAATATTTAATATAATAAATTTTATTAAATTATATTAATAAAAGCCTGTAGGCGTTTGGAGAGCGAGGAAAGGCAGCAATGGCTCATACCAAGCAAACTGCTTGCAAGTCCATCGGCGGGAAGGCTCCCCGCAAGCAGCTGGCGACGGAAGTGGCTCGGAAGAGCGCCCCGGCCACCGGGGGAGTGAAGAAGCCTCACCGCTACCGCCCGGGCACTGTGGCCTTGCGGGGGATCCGCCGCTACCAGAAGTCCACCGATCGAACAAGCATTTGATTAAACAGTGTAATTGAACATAGGAATACAGAATAATGGATGACAAGACTGGATTCTGATTTTACTGTTGAGGCGCTAATGATTGTTATACTGATGTTAATGATTTATGTGATAATTGATTTTAATTGCCCTATACTTGTTTTGTGATATTTTGTACTGATGTTGTTCACCGCTTTGAGTCGCCTGAGGGCTGAGAAAAGCGGTATAGAAATAAAGTAAATAAAATAAAATAATATACCTGGCATATTAGAAGACCCCCAACTTCTGAGAGGATTTTCCAAAGTTTAAAAGTCATCTTACATGCCGGAAAATACGGTAGATGGTTTTGGAATTTGAAAGATTTTGTAATTCCAGACAACAATTGCTCAACCTGCAATGCCCTGTTCAATTGTTTTGTGAATGTCAGTTATATGTTTACACAGATGGTGAGTCCTTTTTTAATTTAACTTTTATAATTTGGTATTCATCTTCCTGAGAATGAGATAAGGACCACATTATATTGCTTTCCTATTCTTTTTTTTTAAAAAAACAACAACATTACAGTTTGAAATTAGGAGTGGGCAAAGTGAAGACACATCCAGTCCCACAAGACTGTATTTACAGCCTTCAATCATTTCAAATCCCCCAGAAGCCTCCATGAATAGCAACTTACCTTTCAAATATGTTGCAGGAACCTTTTGCTCTGTTTAACATTGGGAAAACAAACAATTTTCAAAAACAGAAGTGGACTTCCAGCCCTGTTAGCCATGCAACTATAAAAGTCTGAGACCTTTTGTTTGTTGTGTTTTAGTCAGTATATTAAATATTTTTGTTTACCTTGATGTATGTAGCATGTCTTTGTTTTTTCAAAATATCTATTGGCAGAACTTTTAGTACATTCAAAGAAAATGTCATGGTTGAATCTGAATCCTTTTGGGGAATCACAATTAAATATTTCTTGGATGAAGCCGTAAATAAAAGCAGAGCTACTGGAGGAACGGCACATTCTGCAAGGAGAGGGAGCTCTCCAAGAACGTCTTTACAGCACAGACAATTTAATACACATCTTTAATCCAGCTGCAATTACTGCCCGTGTTTACATCTTCCATGGCACTTTGAAACTGCAAGCAAATGCATCTTTGCAGAGCCAAATTCCTGATGCCACCCCACATTGTAACAACCCTGGGAGTTGGCAAATAAAATCTGGGTTCCTGTGGAGATTGGACTATATTCCTTCTAGTGGGATGAATATTCAAATTGATAATATAGCAATGGGTGTACCTTTGCCTCCTATTTGTCCAGCGATAATGGATAATGGGAAAGAGTACGCACCCAACAGCAACTTCAGTTTTGAATAAACAATTCCAAATTGCTTAAGAAAGAAGTCAGCCCAAATGAACAGATTTATGTGATGAAAGATTAAGCACAGAAGAATTTGTTCTCTCCTACTATATTTGGCAGGGTCTAAATAATCAGAAAGCACCCATATTTGGATGGGAGATTGCCAGAGAATACCAGGTATTGTAGGCTATATTTATGAGGAAAGTGATGTCAAACCACCTCTGAGCATTCCCTGCTTAAGAAAACCTTATGAAATTAATGATATTGCCACCAAATTCTACAGACTAACAATATACTTTGTAGGTTGCTGTGAGTTTTCTGGGCTGTATGGCCATGTTCCAGAAGCATTCTCTCTTGATATTTTGCCCACATCTATGGTAGACATCCCCAGAGGTTGAGAGGTCTGTTGGAAACTAGGCAAGTGAGGTTTATATATCTGTGGAATGTCCAGGATGGGAGAAAGAACTCTTGTCTGCTTGAGGCAAGTATGAATGTTGCAATTGGCCACCTTGATTAGCATTTAATGGCCTTGTAACTTCAAAATCTGGCTGGTTGCTGCCTGGGGGAAGCAGACAAGAGTTCTTTCTCCCACTGTGGACATTCCACAGATATATAAACCTCACTTGCCTTTTTTAACAAAGAATTCTCAGCTCTGAGGATGCCTGCCATAGATGTGGGTGAAACGTCAGGAGAGAATGCTTCTGGAACATGGCCATACAGACCGGAAAACTCACAGCAACCCAGTGATTCCGGCCATGAAAGTCTTCAACAACACAATACATTTTGTCATAATACTTTTCTCCCCACCTCTTGGTTTGTGAGTCTTGGAAGAAATGATGAATGTGAAAAAAGTGGTTAATATTATTAATTTTCTAGTGTAACAATCCAAGGTAAAGCAAAAGAAAAGTCTGGCAATACTTCACAAAAGAGACAACATCATTTATGAAAAACAACACATGGAATGGTAAGATAGTATGGTTTACTATGAAAATATTGCACAATTTCATTTCTTTCTCTCTCAAATTCAATTCTTGCAACTGAGAACAAAAGAATTAAAGGTCGGGAACTGAGAAATGTAAATCACCCTAAGACTACTTGCTTTAAGCTCTTTTCTTCTGCAATCTGTGGAGACCGCTGTGGATCTAATCTGGAGCTCATGGCGAACTGTCTCGCCCGAATTCAGTGACCTATTCCAGGTATATAGGAATCAGGTTCAATCTGTCCTGTCCATCAAAATGATTTCATAAGGTCTGCGTGTATACAATGGGGTACACATTGGAATGTGCATTGAGGCATTTGAATAATAATCCACAGTGCCCATTTTTGCAGGATAATAAATAAGACATTATACAGGTTTTTGCATTCTACTACGTAATCTTGTAGAAATTATTTGACATGTCATTGCTCTATACTGTTAAGCATACAGTCCTCTGGAGTAGTTTATTTAAATACATTTCTAAGAACAATGTAATCAACCAAAAACAGTCCTCAATATACTGCAGTTAACTAGAGCCTGCATCTCATGCTAAACTAAAAGACTCGCAATGTATTGGCATTAAGTCAAATGTATAAAAGTTACATTAAAGAACATTGAAGAGGACAAAAAACCCACATGCTAAGTGGATAAAAAAATATTTCTTTACAACTACACTTTCTTTGTATGACTGTGTATCAAGTATTATTATTTTTTCTTAATTTCAAAAAGGTAAATACTTGGAACCAGCCTTCACCAGCTGCAAATAGCTTCCTTGATCGCTCCTATGCAGTGCCAAATATGAATTTTGCGTTTTTGTACAAAACATAAAATATAGATTTTTCACATCTGCTTTATAGACTGCTATACCAGCCAGCAGAATACAAAAAATACATTTAATACAGAGACTGAGATACAATGCGGTCTTGAGAATCTAGGAATTACAAGAATGAGAGATGCAGTATCCTTTTTTATATGGTTCAAGATAACTTTTTTTCTGAAGGAAGAACTTCTAAACAAACTTTTGTGTGTTTGCTATAAGCAATGTTTACCTTGTCTTCATCTGCACCTGGTGGTGCAATGAGTTAAACCCTTGTGCAGGCAGGACTGAAGACTGACAGGTCGGAAGTTCAAATCTAGGGAGATGAGCTCCCTCTGTCACCCCCAGCTCCCCATGCAGGGACATAAGAGAAGCCTCTCACAAGGATAGTAAAACATCAAAAACATCTGGGCGTGCCCTGGGCAACGTCCCTGCAGACAGCCAATTCTCTCACACCAGAAGCGACTTGTAGTTTCTCAAGTCGCTCCTGACACACACAAAAAAAATCTGCACCATGCTTCATTTTAACGTAACCAATGTAAAATCAATTTCCATATTTAAGCCCTGCAAGCTCCTTAGGCAGAAAGGAAGCAGCAAAAGAGATAGTTAGGAAGATAAGCACTTATTTGCCTATTAATATTTTTAATACCCTCACATGGAGCTCCTGGTGGCGCAATTGGTTAAATCCTTGTGCCGGTTGGACTGATGACCAACAGATCAGAGGTTCAAATCTGGGGAGAGAGGGTTGAGCTCCCTCTGTCAGCTCCCGTTCCCCATGGGGGGACATGAGAAAAGCCTCCCACAAGGATCGTAAACATCGAAACATCTGGGCGTTCCCTGGGCAACGTCCTTGCAGATGGCCAATTCTGTCACACCAGAAGCGACTTGCAGTTTCTCAAGTCACTCCTGACACAGAAAAAAAAACCCCTCACAAAATGTCACATAGAAAAGAGATAGTGCATCTCACGTTTGCTAATAAACTAGGCAATCGTTTTCGAAGACCACATAATCCCAACTGCAAACAAAATATAGCACTTTTATAACAGGTTATAAATAAACTGGTTTTCAAGCATAGAGCCAGCCCAAACATAAGAATACATTATTTAAAAAGACCTAAGGCAAAATGGATTCCATTTCTCATGGATAAAAAAAGAACTGTGCAAACAAGCTTAAAACTATTTTTGTGCCAGTGTTATAAAATATAGTTGTTGGGGGTTTTTTTGTAAGTAGAGCATTGACCCAAATACCAGGAATCCTGCGAAGCAAACCAGGCAAGAATTGCCACTTTCTGTAGGAGAAAGGATACTTCAACATCCCTTTCTCGAACCCTTTCCTTCTCATAGTAGCACTCTTGATTCATTTCACTGATGCTTGGGCACAAGAACTTCCTGGTGGTTTAAGTCCACACAACTGTGCCGGGAACTGTACTATTCCTCAGGAGAGGTGTGCTAACACACCTGTCTTAAGGAGTGAAACTGTTTTTAAGCACTAGATCGAGGCTTTACAAAAAAATAACATCCTACTTATTTCTATATTCCCTAAAACGTATTTCCTCCTCCCTCCCTCTGCCACTACCTGCAATTAGGCAGGATTTTGTTTTCTTTCGATTGTTAGGAAACAAGCTTTTATTGTGCACGATTTTACTTCCTAATCTCTGGTTCTTTGGGCAGAATGACAAAGGATAAGACCCAGGAAGCCGGATGTTTTCCTCAACCGATCAGAAGAGAGGCCCTGGCTCAGTTAGTTTCGTAGGATGACAATAGTGCTGCATCAACCGGCTCCATGCAGGAAGGACACGTGAAAGATCTCATCAACCAGTCATCTATACAGTCCAGGTGGTAAATATGCATGCATGGCAGGAATCTGATAGGGTCCCCGTAAACAAAGTCCATCATACAGATTACGCACCTAGAAGGGGAAAGGGAAAGAAAGTGGAGAAAATCTAAATTATTAACTGGTCCAACCTCCATGAAAGCCACTTAACAGCTGCAGTTACTGCATGATTGAAGCGATTGACAACTCTGAGGACAATCTTGAATGTAATCTTCCTGAACCAGCATTGTTCAAGCAATACTTGCAGCACTGTAGCATAAGGCAAAAATGTTCAATAAGCTATTTGGTCGAAAGATGATGAGAAAGCAGCGGGTGAGGAAAATGGAAAGACAAGCAAGGCTTCAAACTACATAAAAAGAATGCTTTCAAATGGACAGCCACAGTGCCAACAAGCCAAATTTCTATCCCACCTATTCTTCTTTAGTGGATAAAGAAAAAAGGTTGTGAGAATACAGGAAAGGATTCAAGATGATGCCATCCAGAACTTCCTCTCCTCCCTCAATACTCAGTGTGGTTACATCATAAAAGCCTTGACTTTAGTTGGGAGGACAAGAATTATGAGCACAGTGAGTTCGGAGCAGAGCCCAGGATCATGACATATCAAAAGGAAGTGAATAAGCATCATCCTCCCTGTGGACTGACAGCACCGAAACCAGCAGTAAACAGGTAGACATTTCTAAAACCTGCCCCCCCCCCTTTTTTTTAAAAAAAGTGCAATTTTGCTTATGTTACATGCATACATGTGATATGTATTTTAATTATGTTGTGGTCTATCTGCCTGCTTTAACCATGTTGTACCCTGCATTGAGCTGCAAGGAGAGGAAGGTAAGAAACAAATTGATGATGTTGATGACGGGCATGGGATTCCTCATTTATGACTTCCTTCCAACATTTTCCAAATTTTGAAATAAATTAAAAACTGCAAGGGGATCTTACTTACCCGACTTTTACAGAATACATTTTACATTTTTATGACTTCTTTAAAAAAAATCAACCAATTTCATAATTATTATTTGAAACACAACAAGATGAATCCACAGCAGACACTCTGCTGGCTGTTGAATTGGATCACACGTCAGATACTTCCAAGTGTCTAGGACTGTGTGATGTATTGGAGAATAATGCATGCAGATCCCAGTAAGGTGGCCTTCTGCAGCTGGGAGATGGTAATCTTGTCAGCACCTATTGTGTTTAAGTGCAGGGCAAGGTCATTATTATCATTAGTAGTAGTAGTAGAAGTATTAGTATTATTATTATGCCCCTGGAGGTGCAATGGGTTAAACCCTTGTGCTGGCAGGACTGCTGACCTAGTGGCAGTTGTTGTTGTTCATTCGTTCAGTCGTCTCCAACTCTTCGTGACCTCATGGACCAGCCCACGCCAGAGC